ATAGTGGCAAATAAACCTGATATTGTGGTGATAGACCGAACTACACGCTAGGCAATAATAGTGAAGTTTGAAGTTTGAAGTTTCCAAATGACGAGAATCTCGGAAAAGCAGAGGATGATAAAAAAATAAAATATATCGACTTGGCTCATGAGATTGTCGCTATGTGGGACGTTGATTCTACTATTATTGTACCAATAGTTGTATCAGTCAATGGGCTTATTGTTGAAAATATGGACGATTATCTGTCCAAGTTAGAATTGGGCAAATGGCTGAAGGGATTAATTCAAAAATCGGCCTTATTAAATACGGCTCGAATAGTAAGAATCTTTGGATGCTTAAATTCACCAATGGCTGATAGCCGAAATAATAATATTATTTATATAGATTGTATTTATATTTATAATATTATAGTTTTGTGACAATATATGTGATATTGTAATAATAATTAAATTAATATGTATAGTAATAATAATTAAAATAATTAACAAATAATTAGTTAACAAAACACATACAATGATTACGATTGGATACTTCCCCATATTAAATAATTATCACATCAGCTTGTGATATTTGCACATGTTTCTGTATATATATTACAGCAAAGTTTAGTATTCTAAAGAGCGATTCATATGTGCGGTTCAACAGGAACCGGAGAACAGAAATGAGAACGGTGCATCCGAAGTTACCTTTACATGTCTACTAGTGAATACCTGGACTGGCCTACCAACTCACTTTGTAAGAAGTATACCTATTATTCTTGCAGCCACAAACATTGGAGCAACAGCTAAAAATTGATAGATATAAAATAAATACATATTTTAAGTTTCCATATATAAAAAATCGTTTGGGGCCTCTAGACAATAACAAGATTTAAAGAAAAGCAAATTATATTACGCTAAACTGTACTAAAAATACTTTAAAAGCTCTTCAACACCGTCCCAAATAGAGACGTGAAGCAACAGTGATGTGGTATTGTTCTGCAAAATAGGCGGCAATTCTCTATTGAAGAATAACAGACCGATTAGATTTTAGACCCGTCTTGCACGCAGACTTGACTGCAATTGATTAGTAACCTACACACAGTTTCATTACTCATGTCAATGCTTCGAGGCATTGGGTGAGGCCCATCGTCAGTATTAAACTTGTGAAGGGCTAGGATAATGAATATAATATGTTTTTTTTATAAGAGAGGGGGCAAACGAGCATGCGGCTCACCTAATGGTAAGTGATTACCGCCGCCCATGAACAACTGCAACACCAGGGGAATTACAGATGCGTTGCCGGCCTTTTAAAAAGGAGTAGGCTCTTTTCTTGACGGTCCCTAAGTCGTGTCGGTCCGGAAAAATCGCTGGTGGTAATCGATTCCACAAGGAAGTTGTGCGAGGGAAAAAACTTCTTCTAAATCGCACATTGGTGGACCGCCAATCATCCAGATGGTATGGATGGTATCGCGAGTTTTGTCGCGATGGGCAATGGTGAAATTGGGCGGCTGGAATTAGTCCGAACAATTCCTCAGAGCACTCCCCGTGATAGATGCGATAAAATACGCAAAGAGATGCAACATCTCTACGCAGTGCCAGTGAGTCAAGCCGATCGGAAAGAACTCGGTCGTCAACGATTCGAACCGCTCTGCTCTGGATTCGGTCAAGTGGAAGGAGCTGGCACAGGGGAGCACCTGCCCAGAGATGGGAACAGTATTCCATGTAAGGCCGAACCTGCGCTTTGTAAAGTTGCATGCGGTGCGCCCGCATGAAATAATGTCCCGCTCTGCTGAGCACGCCAAGCTTTTTAGAGGCCAATTTGGCTTTCTCTTCCAAGTGACCACGAAACGGCACGTCACTCGATATGTCGACACCGAGGATCCCGATACTGGCTGAGACAACAAGGCCTTGAAACTGAGGAGATACGACAAAGCTGTTCTTTATAGCGGTAAACACGCAAACTTGTGTCTTCTGGAGATTGAACTGGACTAGATTTAGTCGACCCCAGTCTGAGACTTTGTTCAACAAAGTCTCGACTTCAGACACAAGTTTGTTCCGGTACTCGTTCCCGTGAAATATAGGCACGGCCGGTGTATAAAGCATCACCAGTGCTGTCGTCCGCTTAGCAATGAATGTTACTGGTTTATAACATATCATTGATATGCGCAGAAGAAACAGCGTTGGTGATAACACGCAGCCTTGTGGAACACCAGCGTTAATGGACTTGTAGTCGGAGCATGCACCGTCTACTACGAACTTGATGATCCGATCAGCAAGAAAACTGGTGATCCCATTGCACAATTTCTCGGGAAGCCCATAGGAAGGAAGCTTCGAAAGAAGCGCTTTGTGCCAAACCCAATCGAAGGTCTTCGCTATATTCAAACTAACGGCCAACGCCTACCCCTTGGACTCCACGGCCTCCGCCCATCTATGAGTTAGGTAACCTAAAAGATCACCATCTGAGCGACCTCTACGGAAACCGTACTGGCGGTCACTAATCAGCTGGTGATCCTCAAGGTACCGCATGAGCTGGCTGTTACTAATGGTTTCCATTACTTTGGAGAACAAGGAGGTGATAGCAATAGGCCTGTAGTTGGACGGATCTGAGCGGTCGCGTTTTTTAGGGATCGGGTACACCAAAGCTGTCTTCCATTAGTTTGGGACTACGCCAAGGGAGTAGGAGTACCGTAAAAGACGCGTTACCAACTCCGGAGCACACGTCTTCAGTACAATAGGTGGGACTCCATCAGGCACACTCGACTTGTTGACGTCCAGGGAGAGGAGTGCTTTATGCACCGAGCGCTGTGTATACATCACTTCCTGCATGGAGCAACCACACCGCGTGATGGTCGGCGGTGTGTTCCCCCCGTCATCTAGAGTCGAGTTGGAAGCAAAAAGAGGGCCTAGCAGATCGGCTTTCTCCTTTGCGTCATGGGCCAGTGAGTCGTCCACCATGTGCAGAGATGGCAAAGATGGCTGACAGAAGTTCCCTTGGACATCCTTGGCGAGGGACCAGAATGCACGTGTTCCCGAAGGGAGGCGAACTAGTTTCTCGTCAATTCTGCCGATGTGCTCTGACTTGGCAATGACATTTTTGAAGGACCTGGAGGCGGAATTATACTTCTTTTTAAGAGCGCTGGTATTTACATCCCGGGACGTCGATGCGTCAGCCCAGGTTCGGTAGCACTCCTGCGTATAGCGTGATGTAATTTTGCATGACCAAACCATGGCTGATTTCTGCCTCCGATAGGCATCACAGATGATGGAATAAATAATTCAATTCCCTGAAGTACCACATCAGCGACAGAATCAGCAACAACGTTGGGATCATCCGGTGAGAAGCAAACCCGCCCCCATGGGTAGAATGCAAAAAAGACCGCATCACGTCCCAAACGGCCGACCTATAGTGCCAAACACGGCGACAAGCTGCAGATCACAATTGCGATGGGAGCGTGAGTGGCACCGTACTCCGGATCAGACAATGCTCCGAAGAGCCCAGAGGGGCATCGGCGGAGACCTGATATCCGTCCGGATGAGAGGTCAGCAGAAGGTCCAACAGGGAAGGTACATGATCCTCCACATCTGAGATCCACGTTGGCGAAGTAACCAGTTGTGTTAGACCATATGCCAAGGCAAAGTCATAGAGAGATCTACCTGCATGATCGGTTAAACGGAAACCAAGACATTCAGCATGGTGGGCGTCAAAATCACCGAGTGTCACGATCTCTGCGGATGGGACCTGTTGTAGCACGGAGTCTGCAGCCATTTGTGTCGGCCTTACCGCTATGGGACCTATAGAGGCACCCGTAGACGCGGGGATGGTCGTCGCTGTCTACGCGTAGCCATAGGATCGACAGGTCCTTACCTTTAAGACTGCCGAGGCGTCGAAAACAGATGTCCTCTCTGACGTACACGCAAACTCCAGCTATTGTTATGTTATTGCAACGGACGGGGAGAGCAAATGGACGGTATATTTAAAAAAAAAACTGAGTTGATTGATATTGACCTAACTGTCTGAAAAACTTTAACTATGGTCTGTATTTAATTGACTTTGCTGGGAATCTTCTATTTAAAGAATATAAAACAAACTAAAATAATTTATTGCGATATTTACGCAGCACAATTTTTTCTCTTCTCTACAAGTTTTTCTTCTGATTCTTATGTTCGAGAGCTCTTCTTTGCCGCGATTGCTTTCCGCCGGCCTAGTGTCCAACTTTTATTCCCACGCGGGCTTTAAGCGCGCTGATTGGTCGCACGCGTCGAGCTTTAGTATTACAGTGTGCGGCTCAGTCTCGGTCCGTAATAGCTACTTTCAAATTTAAAATTGAATTTCTTGGTTTGGTTTTAATTAAAAGTTCTCACGCCGTTTTATTCTAGAAAATGAAAGCGTTGCTTAGAGGTAAAATACTTAACTACTAATTCGAGGTCGAGGCTTAAAATACTAGCGTAAAATACAATTTGTTCAAAATACGTTGTGTTGGTAAGACGGGTCTAGATAATGTGATCGTCCCCGCCTTTGTGGCGATAGAATTCTTGCTTATTCCGCACGTATGGATATTGAAACGTATACATATTCAAAATGATCACCTATAATATCATGTTATGTTAGTGTCGCAATTTTTATAATATGTAACGATTATAAATGTTCGCATATAGACAGATCGTCGCAGCTTTCCTTTATCAGGAGGAATAGTTTATATGGTCTTAGCTATGAGGTCTAGGAATATTCAAAATGTACTTGGACATCATCGATGAGCAATACATAAAGTAATTACACCAAATTAATTAAAACAAGTCATAGATTAGTAAACCCGAAATGAACGTCTTTGTATTCAAGAGTTTACATATATGCGCATATTTAATCCGTTTAATTTCAACCCGTAGTTCAAGTTCTCGTTATTGCTTAACGCAACAGAATACAATATAAAGTTCTCGTAAACAATAGATAAAGAAATCCCCTTATAAGCATCATTTTAATCTCCATCTAAGAAGCAGTCGAAGAATTGCCTAAACGAGAGGATGACTACGAAGGATTTTGCTCCGGTCTCAAGCGATGGCGCTAGAGAAAATAATAAAGTGGAGACTCTCATAGAATCCACGATGGTAAAGAATTCGCACGTACTTGCCAGAGTTATAGGAACAGATTACACATATAGACACAAAATCGTGTGGAAGAATGCAATAGGATTTTTAATTCTACACATGTTAGCAATATGGGGCTTATTTATTTTTATTACCGGAGGTGTATCCCTTAAGACAATGCTGTGGTGTAAGTTGTTAACCTTTTTAATATTTTGTATTCATAGAAATATTTGTTTGTGTATTTTTTTATTTTTGTTCCAGCCTTACTTATCCTTTTTGTAAGTTCTGAAGGCGTCACTATCGGTGCTCACAGATTATATACCCATAAATCTTTCTCGGCGACTCCGTTACTTCGAGCATTTCTCTTGCTATTTCAAACCATTGCAGGACAGGTAAACTAAATGTTCTTTAAATAATTTGTTATCATATTTTAGTCACATTCATTTTAGTCACTCGTTCATAATAACTGCTAAGACTAAGAAAGTTTAATATGCAGAATTAATTTATGTGGATGTTGCACAACATGTAAACTAATTCTTATAACTAAAAATATCTTATAATATTATTTGGGGAATTTAACCATTGCATATGTTTACTATTTAAATTGATGTTATATTTAATGTTCACACAGAATTCGATGTACATTTGGTGTCGAGATCATCGCCTTCACCATCGGTACTCCGACACAGACGCCGATCCCCATAATTCTAAGCGGGGCTTCTTCTTCTGTCACATTGGATGGTTGATGTCAAGAAAGCATCCGTATGTTATCGAAATGGGTAAGAGGATTGATATGAGTGATCTAGAAGCGGACTGGATGGTAATGTTCCAAAAAAAGTAAGAATAGTTGATTAATTTTATGATTGTTTAGTATATATATAATATATATTAAGATAAATATAAAAAATTTATAGTTTTAAATTTTATATTAAATTAAAACACAAGCGTTAAGCAGATTTTAATTATTTTATTATTTACTAGATTATTTTATAACAATTATTTTTCAGATATTACTATCCACTCTACATGATATTTGCATTGTTTATTCCGGTTTGGGTGCCCATACAATACTTCGGAGAAACGTTTTGGAACTCACTTCTTGTGTGTTACTTCTTTCGCTATCTCTTGGAATTAAATGGAGCATGGCTTGTTAATAGCGCTGCACATCTATATGGAACTAGACCTTATGACAAGTAAGTGTAAGGCGTTACTTAAATAACTACAACATACGAAAATTAATAGCTTTGTCAACAACTATAAATTTACTATAAATACCTAAACAGTAGAACCCGTTCGGGGGTAGCCAAACCCATTAGCCGAGGCTTTACCAATAGTGTGCACTACGGGCCGATTAAGGTGGTCGCTTCGAGTGGGCTTGGGGAGCCAGTCGGGATACCGTGGTTGTGGGTCCGCGGGTAGGGGTTAGTGTGTATTGCGAGTTGCTGTTCTACCTACCTTCCGCGGCTGAAGTCTGGTGCTTCCCAGTGCTCAATTTCTGGTATTATGGCCTCCCTGTAACGGACTCAAAAGAAAGTGAAGAATAGGAGAACTTATACTGTTTGAGGAAAGTCCGCTAGGGCCAGCTGGTGGGAAAGTGTTTTCCTGCCAATGCCAATATGCAGCGAAGCTATGGTAACACCATTGAGATAGAATACATAAATTAAGCTTTTAAATAATTTTGGTTAACCCAAAAATGTGGCGTGACATAACAGAATCGATCTCCCTTAGGCCGCGTTCCGACGACACGCACCCACTACGCGCACGCCACGGGCGTCAGCACCCGCGTCTAACTCGCTTTGAAATTTGTTGCATATAATTTGAGTCTGATGACAAATCAATAAATCTGTAATTGCATTTATCGACGTTCAACCGCACACGCCAGCTATCTTTTGCAAAACAAATATAGCTTCAATATCAGTCGCATTACCCCATAGCAAAATTCATTTTGTCATGTTATTTAATACATTTTGTCTTATTGCCGTTTAAGAGCAAATTGTTGGCGTTAAACCAATGTACTAATTTCGATAGAGCATTATTTACATCGTCATAATTAATTGACTGCCGTTTCAGTTTAAAAATTATAGAGGTATTGTCAGCAAATAATACTATATCGTAATTGTCCCCTACAAGATAAGCTAAGTCATTAATATAGATTAAGAACAGGAATGGGCAAAGAATCGTACCCTGAGGAACGCCCATTGACACTACCGATCCGGAGGAACCTTTACCATTGATTACGACTTTTTGAGTTCTGTTACTTAAATATGAAGTAATGTCTAAGCGCCAAATTTTTTACACCGTAATGTTGTAGTTTCCTGATTAATATCTCATGATGATCACAATCGAAAGCCTTGGAAAGGTCACAGAAAATACCACTGTCACTGGTCACTGACGTGAAGCACCGACGTATCGGGAAGTCTGCAGTTTGTGAACATGTTCAGGATCGTCCCCGTCATCACATTAGATTTGATAGACCACAAATCCTCGCAAAAGAACACCGATTCCTCCCAAGGATGATTCGCGAGGCTATTGAAATTAAAAAAAATCCTAATTTCAATAGAGAAGATGGATGGGTGCTGCCATCTGCTTGGGATCCCATAATTAATAAAATCAAATCCAAACCCAAGTATACCACTGCTAGACTTCAAGATACTGTAAGCTCATTCTGCGTAAATCGAACCAAAAATTAATATTAAAAAACTGAAGGTAGCCGGGCTAACTATGACAGCAGGACGTCAAACAACTCAGTCCCCCGTGACCACGGGTGCTGGAAAGCACCCGAAACGTCGGGAATATAAAAATAAGTTAATATACGCGATAAAATCCGTAAAATTAGTTTTATCTAAATTCTTTTAAACAGGTATTAAGTTATGACTCGGCGACAGTTGGAGAAGTATTCAATGACTCTGTTGTCATGATAGGAACATCAGTGAAATATTTCTCAAACACCGCTGCAACTTCTTGATTTGATTTAGTGAATTCATTATTAATTTTTAATTGATAGTTTTAGTTACGATGTTTCTCTTTACCGGTTTCGCTGTTAATTATACTCCACATTATTTTAATTTTATTCTTAGCCGTCTTAATTTTGTTACTAATATGTAATGATTTGGCTGTGGAGCAAACTCTTTTAAACATTTTAGAATAATTTTTTACATATTCTTTAAAAGCATCGGAAAGATTATATGATCTTTCATGGTAAAGGTCATATAACCTTCGTCTGCTTTTATGAATTCCTACTGTCGCCCACTCATAAATGCCTTGGGACTGTTATTATTAGGAAGACATTATTAGGACGACGCTGCTGCTCATCTCCTGATTTGTTTCCCTCTTTTGCCTTTTACGACACTCACGGGATGATATGGGGTAGAGGATATCCTAACATCGCCACTGCATGGTACCATTTTACTTAATATACTATATGTATACTACATAAATCGATGTAGATGTATTAGTAAAATGTAGGTAGTCGACAATCTACTTGGCAAACATGGCGATTCCGGGACAACTCCCTACAATGGGAAAGCTCGTGTCCAGCTGTATGTAAACTGTGAACGAAAATGTACATGAAACTTGACGCATTTTATAGGAATCTTCAACCAGTGGAGTCCTGGTTTGTGTCCTTTTTAACTTTTGGAGAGGGCTGGCACAATTATCATCACGCATTCCCTTGGGACTACAAAGCAGCTGAACTCCCTACGCACTTTAATACGTCGGCTGTTATCATCCAAATGTTTGAAAAACTAGGCTTGGCATATGATTTGAAGACCGTCTCACCAGAAATGGTAAGGTTAAATTTATATTTACGTAAAATCACTTTTTTTCATAGTATTAGTGTGATAAACGAGCACACAGTCCACCTGATGGTAGGTGGTTGCTGTAACCCATAGCCATCTACATATATCCTGGAATCAAAATGCAGATGCGTTGTGTCACCTTTGGACTAAGTTGGACTAAGATGGAATGCCTTATTTCCAGTAAAAAGGGTCTCCGGATCTATACACTCACCATACGAAACACAGCAGCGTTAAGCTGCTGCTAAAAACAACTTTACGCTGGTATTCTGTGAGAACGTGGTTCTCTCCCGGTCAAGCCAACCCATTCGTGCTATAACTATACCAGTAATATAGCTGCAACATGGCTCTACCATGTAAAAATATTAATATTCTTGCCTTGCTTGCCTTTCTTGTGACCTTGTTCTTTGTAAATCAACGGTAACACAAAAGATTATTAGATTACATTCACATCAGATAGTAAGGACCAGGTTTACCAGATATCTAATTGTAACAGGATTTATTTTTATTATAAATGCGGTATTATTTAAAAATAAGAATTGTACACAATGTAACTAAAACTAAACTGTACTTATACGTTTATATATAAACGTCCCAGCTATTCCAAATATAAATATTTTTACCTGGTTAACACATAGTATAATGTGGTATATGTATATATACCATACGTGTGTGCTAGGACTGTTTTTCTGTATATGCATCCGTATTTTAATTATGAACAAGCGATTGATGTGTGTCCATAGGCCACAGCCTAGGAACTCTAAAAATTCCTAAATATTATTTTCGTTAATTATTTTTCCAATGAAATGAAGAATCTAAAATATCTTGAATTTTCACTATGCCATTTTCAGGTTGCAAAAAGAATTTTCCGAACGGGCGATGGTACACATTATGCCTTTGGAAACGATGAAGCAAAAGCCGCAGTGACAGCTATCGGTCCCTTGCATCCTCTCAACCCGTCTTATACTACGAAGTATAAGGCACCAAAAGCCACTTTAGAAGATCAAGGTTTACCATTATTTCACGAAATGGATTTAATAAATATTAGCTCCAAAACAAATAATAGAAATTCTACTAAAGCGTAGTTCGATAAAGCTGTTTCACTATCGGCTAACATTTCCTTTAGAAATTTTGGAATCTAATAAGCCGAACTTTTTTGTCCAGTAAACAACTATACGTGTATGAATTTTATGATAATACGCTATTATAAACGAAGCGAGAGAATCTGGTACCTCACATTATTATCCCGTAGATGTCGTAAGTGGTATCAGGGCATCAGAGGGAAACTGAAACGGCAGGTGGACAACAACATCTTCCTTTTAACAGATCAAGATTCAATCTATATGGATCGTATATTCAACAGTGTAATGAATGAATGATCGACACGTTAAAACTTAGATGTACTGAATTTAAGGTTTCATTAAGTTAATGTTAGTTTTTTTTTAAGTTTTTTTTTTAATATTAGCCCTTGAAGTCTTATTTTGCTGAAATAAAGAGCCAAAATCTTCATAAGTTAAGGTTAATTTAAGTTTATTTTGTACCCACCTTATTATAAAGTAAACAATGTCAACAAGTACATTTTATTGTTTATATTTGTTTCTCGATTTCTATTTTTCTGACCACCTACAGTGTATGTAGCTTATTATCACATTTCTAAAGTTGAGTAAGAATGACTTTAGCTTAAAGTACAACATAGAAATTGTGTATTAAATAATTTAATAAAGAATAATAAATTAATCAAATAATGTGTGGTAGCGGCATGTAGAAGCGGTGTAAAATATCCACTATCTCATATCATCCCGTGGGTGTCGTAAGAGGCGACAAAGAGAGAATGAATAAGAAGATTAGAACTTGATTTGAAGATGAAACTAAAAATGAAGCTGCGGTTGCCAACCCACTTGCTAAACGTGGCACCTATGGAAAATATACCCCCTATGAGGCAATCTATGGGGAGGCTTATGTTTAGCAGTGGGCTTTTTATAGACTGTAACGGTAATGGTGGTGTTGGCATCAAATAATCTATCACCCCATCTAGTCCCATAGGTGTCGTAAAAGGCAACCATGGGAAAAATCTTATGGCTTCCGATAAATAGTGGTATAACGATCTCTCTTCCGCGTGAAAAATATACCCAGACCGGCAATAGCAGGGTAAAGGTGTGATACATCTGGTACTGCTTCATCATCATCATCATCATCATCATTACAGCCCTTCACAAGTCCACTGCTGAACATAGGCCTCCCCCAAAGAATGCCACAAAGCACGGTCCTGAGCCACCTGCATCCATCGACTTCCTGCATGTCTTACCAGGTCGTCACTCCATCTCGTGGGGGGACGCCCTACACTTCGCCTACCGGTACGAGGCTGCCACTCGAGAACCTTTCTTCCCCATCGGTTGTCGGTTCTTCGAGCTATATGGCCGGCCCATTGCCACTTCAGCTTACTAATCCGTTGGGCTATGTCGGTTACTCTGGTTCTACTGCGGATATCCTCATTCCTAAGTTTATCACGCAGAGAAACTCCGAGCATAGCCCTCTCCATAGCTCGCTGAGCGACCTTGAGCTTCCTCATCCGGCCAGCAGTGAAGGACCACGTCTCAGTTCCGTATGTCATCATTGGCAACACGCACTGGGTGTACAGTCTCGTTTTCAAGGTTTGAGGTATACCTGACGAGAAGATGTGCCGTAATTTCCCGAACGCTGCCCAACCGAGTTGAATCCGTCGATTGACCTCTCGGTCGAAGTTGGACTTACCTAGTCGGACTATTTGTCCCAGGTAAACATACTCGTCAACAACTTCGAGCTTAGTGTTCCCAACAACTACCGGCATAGGTGTGACATGGACATTAAACATGATCTTAGTTTTGTCCATGTTCATCTTAAGACCTATCCGTTGGGAAACACTATTGAGGTCATTGAGCATAGTGCTTAGGTCCTCCAGCGATTCTGCCATAAGGACTATATCGTCGGCAAATCGAAGGTGAGTGATGTACTCGCCATTGATGTTGATACCGTATCCTTTCCAGTCCAGAAGCTTGAAAACGCCTTCCAATGCAGCGGTGAAGAGTTTCGGGGATATGACGTCACCCTGTCTTACACCTCTCTGCAATTGTATAGGTTTCGTATTCTGGTTCTGTACTCGGATAGCCATCGTAGCCCTACTGTACAAGCACTTCAACACTTCGATATACCGACAGTCAATTTGGCACCGCTGAAGGGACTGCAGCACCGCCCAAATTTCGACATAATCAAAGGCTTTCTCATAGTCCACATACGCCAGACATAGTGGCAAATTGTACTCTTCGGACTTCTGTACAATTTGCCGAAGGGTATGTATGTGGTCTATGGTGCTAAAGCCCTTTCGGAAACCGGCTTGTTCGGGAGGCTGGAAGTCGTCAAGTCTGCGCGCGAGACGATTCGTAATGACTCTCGAAAACAGCACGTAGACGCGGCTCAGAAGGGAAATCGGTCTGTAGTTCTTCAAGAGAGCGTTGTCACCTTTCTTGAAGAACAAGACCACCGCACTTCTGCTCCACGCCTCCAGTGTAATGCCACCACGGAGGACGGAATTAAAGAGCTTCTGAAGGACTTCAAGTACCGGTTTTCCACCCGCTTTCAGAAGCTCTGCTGTAATTCCATCCTCGCCTGGGGCCTTACCGTTTTTAAGGTGCTGGAGAGCCATTCTAATCTCGCTCAGACTGACGTCCGGGATATCTTCGGAATAGTGTCGGATGAGACTCGCTCTTGGATCGTTACTCACACTTGCGTGTGGCTCCAACGATGACGTGTACAACTGCCCATAGAACCTCTCAATCTCACTCAAAATCTCAGGTGTCCCGGAAACGATGCTGCCACATCCTGTCTTCAGCTTTGACAGTTGGCTCTTTCTGGCAGACAGATCCCTGGCAAAGACTTTGGAGACTTGGTTCCGCGCGATCGCTTCTTCAATACGAGCTATATTGAAGTTGCGTAAGTCCCGCCGCATGCATTTGGAGATCTGTCTGTTCAGATGCCTGTATGCTGTCAAGTCTGTTGAAGAATGTAGCTTCATCTCCCGTCTAATAGCCTGGTACTGCTTGTATGCTTTTAACACCGCCTACCGATCGTGGCGATTATAATAATTCCCCCCACCACGGAAGAGGAGACAACTATGGCGGGCTGATGATGAAGGAGAAGAAATAAATCAATAAAGAATAATTAAGTTATAAAGCTTGTGCGATGGTTATCAAGGATACATCCAGTCACAATAAGCAACAGTTAGTGCTTTCACATATGTTATGTTGACTTTGGTTCAAACCTAAGGTTGAAATGAAATCGAAGCAGAATAGTTAAGGTACTTACATTTAACATTCAATCGTTTCAATAATTTAGCCGCGGCCATCACGCCTCGTACCTCGAAATCTATGTCGTTGTGTAATTTAAAGGTTCAAGGATAATGACAATGGATTAACCTAATAACAAAGAAATGAACATAATATAACTGGCGCTAACTGACTCTGAGCTCATACTACCACGGCTCTAAACCTTAGGTAAACTACTCGTAATAATATTGTCCTCCAGACCGAATTTCGATCACGGCGCCCAGTCTCAACGGAGTCTAGCCATCTGCGCAGGACAGGATTATAGTGTCCATATGTATGCACTAGCATAGGTGCAGTCTCTATTCCCTCACCCTCATGGTCCGATGAGACTAGAGATGTCATATATATATATATATATATATATATATATATATATATATATATCAGGATTTGTCCTAACATGTCATTACTTTTGGGCTCTTGTCAAGATTGCGGTTGGATTTTGGAAATATTAGGCTTTTTCGATTTTTCAATAAAATACAGATGGTTTTTGCGTGGGAAGGGTGGAATCTGTGACAGATTGTGAGTGCACAAAAGCAAGAATTAGTTAATATTTCACGCTTGTTAATTACGTTTACACTAAATGTTTAACTTTTCTATGAAAATCAGGTTATTTGTCACGAAAATTCAATTTTCCATCTGGTATAGTGGATAGTAGATGGGACGGTAATTCGACACGACTGGAGAGAGATTAACATTGACCGACACGAGCTAAGCAGTCAGAGGCGGGGGTCCGCACACCCCCTCTCAGACAGCGGTTAAATAGCTCAAAAACCCTAACAAAGGGGGTATGATGTTTGGTAACAATACAAAATCATAAACAATCATCATCCTCATCCTTATCATCAGTCTTTCCTTATTTTAAATAGCTAGTAAGAGCCGTATAGACTGACAGCACCAACGGCACAGATAAAAGGTGAAGAGAGATCAGGCGCAGGACCAACGGCTTTACGTACTTTCCTAATGAAACACCATCAACTTTCTAACCCGAATTTCTACTGAGAATTTCTTGACAGAAAATGATTTTGGCTAAGCCCGGGATTCGAACCCGGGACTAAACTAAAAATACTCACTAAAATTTAGGTATTATTTTTCTGATCTATTCCACGACATAATCGACTTTTATGCCAAATTTCATTAAAATAAATGCAGCTGATTAAGTGTCATTGAAGCATAAATATTCAAATAAACACTTCCACTTTTATAATATTGAAATAAGTTTTTATGACATGTTTTTATTTACAAAATACGAGTACAGACAGGCAGGTCCTCCCTCATTTTTGAGATAATTTTGAAGCAAAGGAACTTCACTCTGACGTATTGATGGACTATACATGTCCACGAAAGGATTTTTACTTTCTCAGACATGCAGGCTGCCTCACGACATAAGCAAATCCCAAACCTACCAATACTTAGTAATAGAAAGATAATAACTTTATCAAGATTTTATGTAAATTTTATTACAATATAATTTTATTTCAGAATATATATATATATATATATATATATATATATATTTTAATCAGTGCAAAAGCAACCGTGACGAGCATTATACTTTATCCAATATAAATACTTTGTGACCCTAGTGTACACCCCAGGGTACCCCGCGCGACCGCAACCGATGCCCCACGACACCACACCTGAAAAAATAAAATAATCCATAGACAACTTCATTTATCCTCAATTAAATACTACATATGTGCTGTAATTTCTGAGGGCTAATACAGAATGCTTAATTCGATGGGTTAACTTTTGACTACACTCAGATTGTAATCAGACTGAAAGATCTTCTTCTTCTTCGTCATAACACTCTTGACAGAGCGGTCGTGGTTATCATGAAGAGACGACTTTAGGGGCAGTTGTTAGTCGCCTCATGAGCATTTACTACTTCTCCCTGCTTGCGGACATCCTGGTATATTCGTGCAAAGGACCACCCACAGCAGACTGGAATTTTTTTTTAGTATAGGGTGACAAACGAGCACACAGTCCACCTGATGGTAAGTGGATGCTGTGGCCCATAGACATCTACATTTATACTCGTTTGCGAATCAAAATGCAGATGCTTTGCCACCTGTGAGGACAAAGATGGAATGCCTCGTTTCCAGTAAAAATGGTCTCCGGTTCTCTACACTCACCATATGAAACACAGCAGTGTTAAGCTGCTATTTGACGCTGGTATTCTGTGAGAGCGTGGTCCTTCCTCAATCGAGCCGACCCATTCGTGCTACAACTATACTACTAATATAGCTGCAGCATGGCTCTACCACAAAAATTGGATTTGGTCAGTCAATGGCATGTGCGACATTCCTCGTCCTCTAGTACTCTCCATTTTGCTCTGCACGACAAGATTTGCGATGGAGTCACTCTCACGCCTGGCCTGGGATACGTGTGTCAACAACTTCAATATGCGACTCAGTACTGGCGTTGACAGGCATTTATTTTTAATTCTGTCCATGATACTCCTAGCATGTGCCTCCAGAACCACATCGGGCGGAAAGATAGACGCCGGCAAATTAATCCACTCCTTTTAATTTTTACACATATTATAGGTATATCTTAATTTTTTGATAAATAATAAGCTTACCTAGCAATTCATATCGCTTGTCGCTTCTTTCAGCTGATAATGGTCCTCCACTGTCTCCCTAAATAAAAAAATATCACTTTGTTACTTTTTATACCGATATAATGACCAAACAGCTAATCAATTATTCGTTTTAAATCATTTGCTCTCTTCTTATGCGAAGCGTACACGAGGCGTCCTTAACCATAACCAGGCGTCGTCAATATGTAATTTATGGTTTGGATATTATCATCAACGGTTCGTTATTCTGTTTAAAAAGCGTATCACCCACACTAGAACTTTCATCAACATTTTTAATTATTTCACATGGTCAAAATCCAGATCCGAAACAATTATTTCAACACCGTACAAACATTTCTTTCGTGCGGGATTAAGCCAGACATAGTCCAAGAGCTGGCGACACATTTTGAACACAGATTTGACCCATCTAGTTTTATAGCTTAAAAGTGTCGTCTACGAAATTTGTAAAGGGAATGGCTAGTCTGCCTGCCATGCACAAGTGGGACAGGTATTGCGCATGCTAAAAGTAAGGTAAAATATTTGTGTTAAAAATATAACTGACGCACCATGAAATAACACAAATTGTATTATTGATATATATTATTATCAATAATAAGCGTAGTATATCGATAGCAGATTATTTGAGTGGGGTGCCACGCAATCAGATCACCCCAATGATATTTAAAAAAATATTTCTGACCCACGGTGAAAATTTAATAGCGTGTCAAGTACATTTTTTTAATAATAATCCGAAAAAGCCAGATCTTTTTATGTTATAAATTTTTGTTATAACGATTGCAGTAAAAATTACTGAATATTATGTAATGTATCTAATAAAATTGCTACGTTTCGAAGCAATACAGAAATATTAACTCCAAATGAAATTGATTGTACCCAAAATAATTATATCGGATAAAAAAGTTATAAAAAATTAAGAATACTGTGACTTATTTTTATTTATAGCACTCAATTAATATAAAATGATATAAAAGATATAAACGTGATGAGTATATTTAACTAAATACTTTTTAGCGAATTTGCTGAGCTTGAGCTATTTAACTAGATGGGTCAAATCCGTGCTCAAAATGTGTCTTAACATTGATTTCATTCGCTTTTATAGTTTTCTATTATCGTGAACGATTGTAGAATGTCAACTTCCCAACCCCGTTGTCGTTAAGAAAAAATTAAAGGTTCACCTGACATGTATCCTTCCGCCCTTGATTTGGGTACCCAGCACAAAGCATGTTGTCAGCTATCATAGTCCTTACGTACTTTGTATTCTTGCACTCTTCGTTACTAAGTATGGGAAGTTCCACTTCAAGTAGATGGCAGGAATGGTTTTTCTGTTCACCTATGGAACCCCAGCCAACAGCAATGGCCTTCACCCCTTCGTAAGTGTAGGCTGGAAGAAAACAAAATTATTCTCAGATAAAAAAGAAAATATTATAAAATTATGAAAATAATAAAAAGTACAAATAGACTTCAAAACTCAATAAAATAAAAAAATAAAATAATTTCCACATAATAACTTCCGAAGTTCTTTCGAAAATCTTTTTAAAACGTATTACTTAGAACGCTATTAGATAAATTACTTTACATTTTCGTAGTCTTTTCATTTAAATACTTCATCATATCGTTAATCGTTTGGACATATCTATATTTATAAGTGTTTACATATTTTTTATCCCTGCTCTATTTTAACCATTGTTCGAACCATACCTCTTACGCTTACGTAAAGAATATCCGCAAAAGATCACTTTCCGAATAATAAAACCGCCTCTTGCACATATCCTTTAATAGTGTATCGAAGAATTACACTTTTAAAGCTCCGACTTTAGAAACTATTTGTGAAAAAAATATTTCAACAAAGAATATGTATAATAAACTACGGTTGCCAACCCGCGTGCCAAGCATGAAAACTATGGCTTTCTTCAGCAGTGGATTTCCAATAGGCTGTATTTTGATAAGGATGGTTAATGAATGATGCTCATAATAATATATAGTATAATGTATAGTTATAATGTGGTATACTCGTAACTATATAAGAGCCATGATAGCTAGATAGAGAGTACGCGTTCGCTGTACATTTCGAAGTAAGCGAGCAACCCGACTTCGATTCACGCCGGCACTCATGATATTGTTAGTTGCAATTTTAAGTGCTGATTTAAATATTTCGAGAACATGTGAAGTCTGCCAAGATACATTGAAGCACTAATTTCTCCACTCTCAGAAATTCGAGAAGACCTGTGCCAAGCAGGTGACACGTACGTACTCGTATGCTGTAACTTTAAAATTCTTCTGACATTTCCTATTCTTGCATCTTACAATAGCCGTGCTAGGAATAGGATGTGATAGAATCTCTTAAACCACCATCACACGCCTAGCTAACGTATCACACAGATAAAAGAATATGATCGAAATAGAACAAAATGTTAGCAATGGGGAATTTTTAAAAATATTAAATTACAATCGAAATAACACTCCATCTGATCTGATCGTTAGTGGCTACTTGTAGCCCTTGGACACCTGGAGGCTAGCTGTCACCGCCGAGGACTAAAACTAATTGCTCCACAAGCCTGTAACTATATGGATAACTTCATTCAAATCGCAGCGCTTTAGATAGTAAAATACCTAATCGATTAGGCTGAAATATTTTTTTTTATTTTACAATAGACGTTCAAACGGAATTAATCACAAACAAACAAGAATTTAATTAGGAATTCAAAGACTCAGAAACAATTCATCTGTTCCACTAAAGCGTTCCGGTTTATATCTGCATTTTGCAAACAAATACAGTTAAATTGGCTAGTTGTTTCAACTCACCATCATTATGTGGCAAACAGACAGGTTTAATTGCGTCTGTGATAATAAGTCTATCGGATAGTCTCAGGAGTGCGATATCGTCTCTGAAGGTGACGTACGTAAAGTTATGAGCGATAACCTCCACCACGAACCGGGTCTCCGGCCGATGAGTCTCATTGCAGCGGTTGTGCTCACCAAATGTCACTTTGATCATAAACCACATCAATCTGAATAAAAATGTATAAATTCATGTTATCCGCATTGAGACACTGTACCTCACTATTAATATCTATATTAATTTTAAATGTTTCGCATTACATCCCCATTTTGTTGAATTCAATTTTCAAAGTTGTCTATGTGTATATTTATATACGAAGTTAAATATAGGTATATGAAGGTGTTTATAACTTAATTTACAACAAAACATATACAATAAAAAAACATGCATGAGTGTCGTGGAACACTCGGTTGGAACGAAGTCCCTTTCGTAGTATACTATTATTGATAAACGTATTATATTATTGATTAACAAATATAAATACATGAATTACTAGCGTCTATTGAGATGAAGAGTCATTTAAATTAAATTAAAATTTCTTTCATGGTAAGATAAGAAAAAGTGCTAGGGAGATGGGTATTATTCCATCTAGCTTCCTTATAGCCAAAGCGTCTACACTGCGTAAGAAGGGATCGTGACGGAACTTTTTCTCGCCTAGCCCCCATCCGCCAAATTTGTAACTTCCTTCCAATAATAAAATTCTTCTTATTTTCTTTTATTATTCTTTAACAGCTTTTTCAAACCACAGCTGGGTAAAGACCTTTTCAAGAAAATGTTGAATGAACATGCTAAGAGACTTGTTAGTAAAGGGAGGAAGCAATACAATCATCAATTTGCGGAATATAATTATAACTGTGCTGTTAAAAACATTTTATTTCGTAAATATTTATAAAGTAACATAGTTAACTTGGGAGCATCAACGAATTGCCAGACCCAGAAGCTTAAGTTGGTTTTTTAGAGCTCAAACTACTTTTATTATTTCCTACTTCAAAACTTTGAAATGCGTGCAACGTGAAAGGAAACCAACACAACTAGATAATTAACACATCGATAAAAATAATATATCGTTTTCTTAACTCATAAACTCTGTTTTAAAAATTTTAGAATATTCGAGTTTTGATCTTATTCATCAGCGCTAAAATATAAAAGTGCACTGCTGGGTATGGACTTCCCTCATTATAGGAATTAAGGATGTTTTACGCCTTTGTCATTCCTCCTCGTCACAGGCTTGGGTATTTTTCTCGTGTCGTAAACAAGATGATTATACTGTCATTTATTGCAAACGATGAGATTTTATTGGTATTTCCCATAGCCCTCTTTTACGACTCTTTACTGGATTTTCTTACACTGCCATGCCAAGTAGAGTATTCAAAATTAAATTAAATGTATACTATAGTAATTTAATAAATAATTATAGATATTCTTACCCCTTAACGCAATGTGCAGCAGTAAGCACGTATCTGTCATTGATAACCGTACCCCCGCAGTAGAACTTGTTGAAATAAGTGAGACGAGCTAGCCATGGGAATTCATTAACATTTGTCTCCTCGCCTCCTACAATTCGTGATGCCTCATTCCGTTCTCCACACCCTTAAAAATATAGTGATTCAGTACAGATATAGTATTTTAGATAAAGGGAAATAGAAGAGGAACTCACACACGAAACCAAGCTGATGACAATTATGCAGAAATGATGTAAATTACATGTACAAGAATGTGAAGGTTTAATCAAATATTTTATTAGAAAATGATTTCACATACAATTTCTAAAATTGTTTCAAATGCGTTTAAACGCAAAATATTAAAAACAATCATAACGTGACAAAATATGAATGTTCCTAATGTGACAAAAATTTCATGACTATTGAAATTTAAAATACTAAAAATATACATTCATACAAAATAGATATCCCGCTTATTTGTAGGATTTATAATATTTTTTTAGTTTCGTTTATTATTATAATAAATATTGCATATTATTTTGAGTTAATAAAATTTTATAGATTAACTTTTCGAAAATTTTTATATCAATCTTAAAAATAAGATTTACTTACGGCAATTGCATCCATATTTCTGGTGATATCGGTCGTCTTCGGTTGCCCTTGCTCGGACCTCTGCCTTTACCTTTGTCAATACAAGTTTTTTAAAACCAGTTCGTATCATACCTGACTTAAGCTGTATAAATTAAAACCTTAATTTCTCATTTTATTGTTCAATTTTTACCACCACATTGCAATTTTTTTTTTATTTATTACTTTTGCTTCGAAGATAAAATTAATTTCCAGTGTTGCTAATAAAAGCATGTTTATTGTTTTTTTTTTTAATGTCGTTACTTACATATGTGTTGAACGTTGCTGTACATTGGTAACTGCTAAAGTAAATGAAGATAGTCGTAACACCACATTTTAATGTAATTATAAAACAACTTACCAAATAATTAGTTAACAAAACACATACAATGATCACGATTGGAAACTTCGGCATATTAAATAATTAACACATCAGCTTGTGATATTTGCACGATTTTCTGTGTGTATCTTACAGCAAAGTTTAGTATTCTAAAGTGCCGTTCTACGGGAACCGGAGAACAGGAATGAGGACGATGCACCCGCAGTTCTATACGTTTACATGTCTATTAGTGACTACACTAGCCTACCTCACTCGCTCACTTTGCAAGAAATTTACCTATAATTTACCTATATTATCCTTGCAGCCGCAAACATTGGAGAAACAGCTGAAAATTGATAGAAATAAAATATCTATTATATAATAATTATATATAATTATGTTATCATATACATAATATAATAGATTTAAAAAAGCGAATTCTATTATGTCTAGGTTTTTTCCTCTGTTTCCAATAAAGAGAAATAAAAAAAAACAGTTCGGAAAACATCAAAAAAGAAAAGACGACGCACCAGAAGTTTATTCGAGTATATTTATTTACACGCACTATTTAGAGGTCTTTCGAACCCTCCCACATCTACTTCAGACTAAATTCAACTACAGACCTACCACTGTAAAACCTAAAATCTTAAATTTAAAAAAAAACTTAATATACTTATTGATATTTTTTAATAAATTTTTCACTCATTGATTTACTAATTCACTGATTGTAATCAAAAACCAAGGCCATTTCTAGGTGACTTTGGAACAAAAAATTTTGCATCAAAGGTCATTAGGCAAATATAAAAGAAAATTACCTGAAAAGTACAAATTACCGATATTCGGTATCGAAATTTAATTCTTATAGCTTAATTTAAAAATAGAAAACCAGTGAAGCATAAACGCAAGAAAAAAAAACGTTGATTGTAGTATATTTATTTAAATAAATAAAAGGGTATAATGTTCATTTTTAATTATTGATATCTGACCAAAACATACATGTGAAAAGAAGCCAGGTCCAAGACAAATGGTCTTGTCAGCTTCGCCGATTGTATTATTAGAACTGCTTGAACGACAACTCGCGAACATCTTTCGTAACGAATTAGGCCCTCATTTCACATTTGTGCCGTGTAGTGGCGGTGTAAGAATACCCACTACCCCATATCATCCCGTGGGTGTCGTAAAAGCGACCAAGGTAAAATGAAACATGATTTGGGATGCAGCATCTTCCTGATAACAACTCAAAATAATAAAAAACTGCGGTTGCCAACACGCATGCCAAGCGTGGCACCTATGGCAAATATCCCCCTTATGTATAGGGGAGTGCTATGTTTAGAAGTGGACTTTTACAGGCGATAACGGTTCACATTTACATTTTTGGTGATATTAACTTCTTCATCATTCATTCATTTAGCCTATCAAAAGTTCACTGCTGAAGAAATAAATGCCTGCCCTATAGAATATCTTATAGTTAGTTTTTTTTATAGAAGAAGGGTGACAAGCAAGCACACAGTCCACCTGATGGTAAGTGGTTGATGTGGCCCATAAACATCTACATCTATCCTCGTTTTCGAATCAAAATGCAGATGCATTGTCACCTGTGAGGACTAAGATGGAATGCCTCGTTTCCAGTAAAAAGGGTCTCCGGTTCTCTACACACACCATACGAAGCCCAGCAGCGTTAAGCCGCTGTTTTACGCTGGTATTCTGTGAGAGCGTGGTCCTACCCCGGTCGAGCCGACCCATTCGTGCTACAACTATACAATTAATATATGTACATAGCTACAGCATAGCTCTACCACGTACAAATAGTGCCAAAATATCCCCCATATTAGTATAGTTATTTTAGTCATAGTTGCCACGCTTGGCAGGCGGGTTGGCAACAGCCGATTTTTATTAATTTTGCGTTGTTATCAGAAAGATGCTGCTGCCCATCAGTCGCCTCTTACGACCATCGTGGAATGATAATATAGACTTTTTCAAAGGCAGCCTGTAAATACATTTTTTTTCCCCATTTCTTGGCCTGCACGGTTTGTGTAGGCCAAGAAATGGGGAATTTTTCAATGTATAATTATCCTTCATAGTACAAATGTATAATTATCCTTCATAGTACACTGCTTCACAATATGTTGATGCGTCACATTGCGAAGTCCTTGGGAGATTTTGACGGCAACTTGAGCCAGCTGACAGTTGGCAATGGTATCCCAAGGCGCCTAAGCAGACAACCTTATCTTGTGAATCACATCACCATTAGAGCACTTGTTTCACCGTTTCCACTAATTGTTCACATGCGTAGACACTTAATACACAAAATCGCACCACTTTTACATATCAAGATCCACTTCAAACCATTATTTAAACAATAATACAGGAGCAGCAAACCGCCGCCGGTCAAGTTCCCGCCAAAACTCCTACATTCATTCTTAAATATCGACCTCACCGTTTGAAAGGCGGATTAACAAACGCAGTCGTTTCGTAACTTTGATGCTATTATTTTATTTATCAATTACAGGATGAATCACATCATTAATAATGAGATAAATTACTCCAATAAGATCAATAACTTTTTTAAATTAATTGTTGGACAAGGTTTTCTCGTAACGCACCAGTGGTAAGAATTATTGGAAAATTAGTTCATACACATGGCGCTTATGTAAGTGCAAGGTGGATACCCTCGCACTGGAAATGCTGCTCCTCAAATTTGACTTCAGATTTTTGGAGAATTTTTTTAACCACCAAACACCTTAAAGCCACCACAAATATCTATACATATAATAAAAATGTAAATTGCAGGTGTCTGTATAAGTGATTAAATATATTTCTGTCATTCCTAGAGTTGTCTGCCTATCGGCTTGTCTAATGACTAAAGTAATATTATTTTTCAAAATAATGGTAAGAAAATAATGTTGAATATATAATCTATGGCACAACGTATTCAGGTTAGACCGTTTTTTTTTAAGAAAAACATTTCAAAATTTTCCTTGAATTAGGTTCAAGGAAAATTTCGAAATCTATTTCTCAAATTAATATGCAAAATGAAACACAATATTTCAAATCTAATTTATTGTTAAACGAGTTGCGACATAATACTTTTAAAATTGCCTGTGACAACCCACTAAGCGAGGTATATATAATATTGCATTAATGGTAAAGAATTTCTATGTCGACTTAGTATGCGCAGTAACATGCATCTTCGGTATTGTCTCTTATCCAGTCCATGTATCTGTTTACTCTGGTATATACTCCTGGGAAGCCTTTCCTGGCGCATCCATAACCCCATGACACAATTCCTGAAAGTAGAACAAATAATATATTAAAACAATTTTTCAAGTGTTTTGGCTTAACTTGTAGTAATTAAAATTTTCTGAATTATAGTAATACTTCCCATGATTTAGTAAATATAACGTAACAATTTACATTATGGCTCCACTCACACACGGCACACCACAACTTCCCTTCAAAGCAAAAGAATCCGCTGTGCTTTTCTACTAAAATAAGAGGTCTTCACAAATCGCCGAAAATGCTTATTATGCCGCAGCCTATTAGCTTTTTTTATACAGAATAAGGGTAAGAAACGAGCACATAGAGATGGTAAGTAGATGCTGTAGCCAATAGACATCTACATTTATTCTCGATTAACATTCAAAATGCAGAAGCGTTGCTATTCCTGTCGACTAATGCCTCGTTTCCAGTAAAAAGTTACCATACGAAACTCTGCTGAACCTCGTATGGTGAGTGTAGAGTTGAGTTTTATCAATATGCTGCTATTTTATGCTGTTATTCTGTGAGAGCGTGATCCTTCCCCGGTCGCGCCGACCCATCCGTGTTAAAACCATAATATAGCTGCAGTATGGCTCTACCACGTATAAGTTACTTAGGCTCGAAACATGAAGATTGACAGATATTATTTTATAGCTTACTACTATATACGAGTACATATGTGCAAATCCATAAGATTTGTGTTCATACAAAACATTTTTAAATATGCATATGAAACAAATAAGCCACTAATTTCATTATGATAGGTCTTACCTATTAGTTCATACGCATGTTCCTCATTTTCAGCTACCAATGGTCCACCACTGTCTCCCTGTAGAATCATATCATAATAATCAGTTATTATATAAAATTTAATGCGATATAAACATCATATTTTATTTTTAACGGCAAACAAAAAAGCGATAAAAAGTCTTGAATATAATTTATTGGTACAATATGGTAACCGACGCGCACGGTAAAAATAAAATTTATAACCGAATCTAATTTGTATTGCACGTGTATCAATTTAGTATAAAGATGATTTATTGGTTCCTAAAACAACTTGTCACGCTAAACAACCGTAACTGTACGAACTGAACGAGGTTAAATATTTCCTTTTATATTAGAAATGTGACTGAATGATGTAATCATGACGTCATTCAGTCACACATTTCCTTTTATTAGCCTGTGAAAATGCTACTTCTTGTCTGAACAGCTAGCTCTCTCTCTCTCTCTCTCTCTGTCCCTGTCTCTCTCTCTCTCTCTTTATCTCCCTCTCTCTATCTCCCTCTCTCTATCTCCCTCTCTCTATCTCCCTCTATCTCCCTCTCTCTATCTCCCTCTTTCTCCCTCTCTCTCTCTCTCTCTCTCTCTCTCTCTCTCTTTCTACAAAATTGAGGAGCTTTGCCTTTATTAGTATGCTTGACGGGCGAATAGGATGGAGATGGATTCGGCAGCACAATTTCCTTTGTCACTATTTCCTCATTCATTCTTGATCCGAGCCACTGGAACATTACTTTCTTATCACAAGATGCTGCCAGTTCACACCTCGGTTTTTAGGGTTCCGTAGTTACACAAAAAGGAACCCTTATAATTTCGCCATTTCTCTCCGTCCGCGGTTTTACTCAGAGACCCTAGGTGCTACAAATCTGTAGTTTCACGCCTACAAAATTGTGAATCATAAAAAAAACATTTTTATTTTGGGTATCTCCCGTACAAGTAAATGGAGAATGACTTTTTTACCCTATATATAGGTCTTTCAAAAACACTGGGGGTGTGGAAAAACATCTTTTCGATTCAGGGGTCCCCCTCCACCCCCCCCACTACAAATTGAGGCGCTGTTTTTTTTAATAATTAGGAAATATGAAAAGTATACACGATAGTAGTATCAATATAATGAAGTTAAAGGGAAAACGATACAGCTATACACAGCTAAGTAGACTTAACAAGTTAACGAGTTACAATCTTTTTGTTACAACTCCATATAAAATGAATTAAAGCTAGCTGCATTATAATATATAAATATATATATATAAACACTCACGCCTGTCACCCAGAGGGGTAGGCAGAGATTATGGACTTCCATTTGGCACGATCCTGACACACCTCTCTCGCTTCCTCCACATCCATATACCTACGCATACACGCTCGTCGGTTAAAGGTACTCTTGATTTGGCCCATTTTTAATATATCGCCAATTTGGTCGATAAACTTTCGCCTAGGGCGACCCTTCCCGACTATGCCGTTCACCTCTGCAACATAAATTTGCTTTGTCACTCTTTCCTCATTCATTCTTTCTACATGGCCAAACCACCGAAGCATTCCTTTCCTAATCCTGGTCACAACATCATCTTACAAACCACACTCTTCTCTTATTAAACAATTTCTCACTCTGTCATTCAGATTCATCCCTAACATACTCCTTAATGACCGCATTTCTACAGCATTTATTCTACTCTCGTGCTTCTTCTGCCACACCCAACTTTCACTACCATACATTAAAGTAGGTACTAACACAGCATTGTGAATTGCCATACGTGCCTTTTTGGACACATTTTGGCTTTTCACAATAGAGTGTAGAGCCCCATTAACTCTATTTCCTGCATTCACTCGTCGTTCTATATCCTTATCATATCTACCATCCCTGCTAAACACACATCCCAAATATACAAACTTATCTACTTGCTCTACCAACTCCCCTTCTATTCTTATTTCACATATCGTTTTACTTTCTTCTCTTTCAAAAACCATAACTTTCGTCTTACTTGCGTTCACTTTCATTCCCTTTTCTTTTAATGTCCTGTTCATTAATGTAATCATCATTTGCAACTCGGCTGCCGACGATGCAAGTATGACTTGATCATCGGCGTACAAAAGGCATTTGACGGTTAACTCACCCATTCTTAACCCGCATTCTTCTACTTTCAAATTTTCCAAACAACTGTCCATAAATAGGTTGAACAACCACGGGGATTTATTATGGTGGGATGATGAGGTACGGATTAAAGTTGAAGCAAAGAAGAAAGCATGGCTAGATTTACTAGCAACCAAGGCTAGTAATTCTAGCAGTATGAATGATGATATTGAAAGGAAAAAGGCAGTTTTTAGAAACCTAAATAAGAGAGTAAAAGAAGTAGTTGAAAGGAAAAAGCAGGAAAGAACGGATAAGAATGATAGAAAAATATCGGATAACTTCCAGGCAAACATTAAAATGTTCTGGAAACTCGTAAGAACTACCAGGGGACATTCAAAACAGCCTAGAATGAATGCTATACGAGACCGGAATGGCTGTATTCTGAATGACGAAGTTTTGAGTTTAAGGAGATGGAAGGAATACTTTGAAAGCGTGTTTATGAGTGATGAAACGTTTGAATTAAATGAAATAGAAATTCCGAAAGAAGAGGAAATAGATAGAGATATAAGTATAGATGAAATAATGAAAGCAATGAAAAGTATGAAAGCAGGTAAGGCAGCCGGTTATGATAGAGTATCTCTCGAAATGCTAAGGGCTGGAGAAGGAGTGGTGGCAGACCTGCTGTACACCTTGTTTAATTTATGTTGGGAACTTAAGCGGGTACCGGGAGACTGGTGCAAAGCCGTGATAGTCCCAATATGTAAGGGAAAAGGATCACAGCAGGACTGTAAAAACTACCGTGGTATTAGCCTTCTTAGCATTGTGGGAAAACTGTATGCTAAAGTACTAATTGAAAGAGTTATGAAAGAAACTGATGGAAAAATTTGAGATGTGCAAGCGGGATTTAGAAAGGGAATGGGATGTACGGATCAGGTCTTTTCCATGCGCATGATCGCGGAGAAGTTTTTGGCCAAAAACCAAAAAGTTTTTTGTGCGTTCATAGACTTGGAGAAGGCTTATGACAGAGTGGACAGGGATGTGTTATGGCAAACACTGAACTCATTTGGGTTGACCGCTGGTCTGATACAGGCATTGAAGTCTCTATATAGGGACTCTAGTGCTTGTGTCAGGATCAACGGGGCCTACTCGGACTGGTTTGGCATCCATGAAGGTGTCAGTCAGGGCTGTGTGGCTTCCCCGTGGCTGCATTATAACTTTGTAATATTATTGTAAACTGTAAAAAATATACATTTTATAAAAAACGACGCTTTTACTTTTTCATTTGCGGGATAGGCAAGGAGGATCTTTCTTAATTACTTACTACTTTCACTTATTTTTTTAGTTGACAGTTATTGTACACCACATTCAAAGTATTCATACAGCCATATAGCCTCATACAATTTCATTCGTCACACTCTTGTTTTACGCGGGCAACCTGATTATAATTTAGGGCAGTGGTTGTTTACGTGAAGGTTAGTTACGGTCATAAATACTTACTTGGCATGTAAATTGTATTATTTTCAAAATCGTAAAGTTTTTATAATATTTTTTGAATACTACTCCCTATAAGTATGATTTGATAATGATTCCTTCAGTTACCATCTTCTTATTTGGGTCCATTTTTAGTCGTTATAGCGGTCAAACCGCGAACTCACTTATGATGCTCATTATCAGGAAAGCTCACGTATTGTGACGGCCAACTACGGAACCTTACATTGTGCGTAGCCCGACACGCACTTGGCCATTTTATTAATTTCTTAAACATGCGTAGCATGCCTACGCCTGTACATGAGTGCATGAGAAATCAGAGCTTGAAATTGCAACTAATAATTCAATTGGTGCCGGTAGACGTCTAACTCTGCTCGCGTAATATACCTATATAAGTACATTATTTAAGGCGAGCGGTTATCCCCTAAGCTACCAATTCTCATTTTAAGACGCACTTATTAGCTTGATCTGTATGTATTTATGTATGAATGTGATGGATCTCTTTTTCAATTTTGAGCCACATCCGGATATCCAAAATATCTAAAATTGTGCAGACTCATTAAAAACTGATGCCGGTATAAAATTTTATCACTGAATGTTCGTGAATATACATGAATATTATGACTTAGTATTGTCACTAGGATCATCACAATTCATCACCAATGCCCGTTAAGTTCTTTTTTTTACTCTGATTTTATTATTATAATTTATCTTTCATATAAAACATATAATAATTTGAAATTTAGCACTCATTAAGAACCGACGTCGATACAAAAACTTTAAGACTTAATGTTCATGAATATACATGAACTTTATTATCTAATATTCTCACTAGGAGAATATTAGATCATAAAGTTCATGTATATGAACTTTATGATCTAATATCTTGTTTAAGATTTTTGTCTCTGATTTTAATATTATTAATAATTTTATTCATAATTATATAAATATTATAATTTTTATTAATTCACTTATTGGTGATTACTTACAGTACAAGCATCTTTGTGCGCTGTTGCTGGATATCCAGCACACATCATAACATCCCTTATCTTCGACTCATTATAGCTCGTGTTCTGACACTCCTCGTTTGTGAGAACTGGAACCTGCGCCTCAAGAAGTGTACAGGACCAATTCCCTGTTTCCGCTTTAGCTCCCCAGCCCGCCACTGTGGCTAGTGTTCCGTTGTACAGATTTTCTAAAATATCAAATCTGATTAAAATACACCTAGAGTAATATAGTTTTATTAAAATTTATGTAGCAAATCAGCTAGCAATCTCCCTGACGATGAGTGGCTACTGTAACCCATGAACAACCGCAATCAGTTTGAATTGCCAAACCAACTTGATAGGCCACAGTCGCCTTGTCACCTTATGGAATGGCTCATAGCGTGTAATTATAAACGTAAAGAAACCTTACGAAGTAATATTTAATTATAATTAAATAACCGTGTAATGGTGGTGTAAGAATATCTACTACCTCAATCGTCCCGTGGGTGTCGCCAGAAGAGAGAGAGAGAGGAAAACAAACCAGAAAGTGAACAGCAGTGTATTTCTAATAACAACTAGAATATAAAAAACTGCGTTTGCCAACCCACTTGCTAAGTTTAGCAACTATGGCAAAAAGCTAGGAGGCAATAGGAGGCAATCTGCATTAAGGACAATGTTTAGCAGTAGACTTTCATAGGCTGTTATGGATGAATGAATGATCGTGAATTAACGTTTACATCGTGTTTCATCATCATCATCATCATCATTAAAGCCCTTCATAAGTCCACTGCTGAACATAGGCATCTCCGAAGGAATACCACAAACCACGGTTCTGAGCCACCTGCTTCTATCGACTTTCTGCATGTCTTACCAGGTCGTTACTCCATCTAGTAGGGGGCTGTCGCAGACTTCGCCTATCGGTACGAGGCTGACACTCGAGAACCTTTCTTGCCGATCGGTTGTCGGTTCTTCGAGCTATATGGCCGGCCCATTGCCACTTCAGCTTACTAATCCGTTAGGTTATGTCGGTTACTCTGTTTCAACTGCAGATATCTTCATTTATAAGTTTATCACGCCGAGAAATCCATGGCTCGCTGAACGACCTTGAGTTTCCTCATACGGCCTTCAATGAATGATCACGTCTCAGATCCATAAGTCATCACTGGCAACACGCACTGGTTGTATAATCTTGTTTTCAAGTTTTGAGGTATAGGTACCTGATGATTAGATGTGTCGTAATCTTCCGAACTATATACCTCTCTATAACTATCCCTCGATTAACCTCTCGGTCGAAGTTGAACTTACCTAGTCGGACTATTTGCCTTGGTAACTACCGGCATAGGTGTGACATGGACGTTACACATGATCTTTGTTTTGTTCATGCTCATCTTAAAACATTTTGCCATAAAGACTATAATTTCGTCAGCAAATCGAAGGTGAGTGTGATACCATATCCTTTCCAGTCCAGTAGCTTGAAAACGTCTTCCAATGCGAAGAGTTTCGGGGTTTTAACGTCAATAATATAAACCTATCCAACTGCAGGGAGGTGTCTAGGTGGATAGGTTTCCTACTTTGGTTCTGTACTCAGATAGCTAGCCATACTGTACAAAAACTTCAACACTTCGTTAAACCGACAGTCAACTTGGTAACGTTGAAGAAACTGCAGCACCGCCCAAGTTTCAATTAAATCAAAAGCTTCTTCATAGTCCACATACGCAAGACAAAGAGCCAGATTGTACTCTTCGGTCTTCTGTACAATTGGCCGAAGGGTATGAATGTGGTCTAAGGTGCTAAAGCCTTTTCGGAAACCGGCATCGTATTTGGGACTTTACATTTCTAAATGTACTACATTTATTTTATACGTATAGCATTCCTTATTAACTTAATTTAAATGTTTTGAGAAATTTATTCGCGTCTAACCATGACGAAGAATCGAGTTGATTAGTAAAAAGCAATTGACAAACAAGCTTAATTTAATTATCTTATCAATAAACATACACACTGCTTAAAAATTAATTTGTAAATCCTATTTTTGCGAATTCAAATTTAGATTTTTAGACATTTAAAATTCCGGTTATTACTGGAATTTCAAATGTAATCATAAAAGCTCTTTTTTAAAATTTAAAGCCATTCAAATCTAAACAATCTTTTACATCCTTTATATCTTTAACTCTCAAAATGACACATAAATATTTTAATGTTTTCATTAAACAGGGAATTCATTTTAAAGTAATAAAATCCTAAGGTTGAATGTAAATTTACAACTCGGATATGATACAAAAAAAGAAAAAAGGGTTCTAAAAAGAAACTAAGCTAAATTGGATTTCTTGCATTAAAAAATGCAACCATCACAAATCTACTGCTGAAAACTGCTACAGAGCATGGACCTGATCCGTGTTTTACAACGTGGTAGAGCCATGTTGCAGCTATATCATCATGGTTGTAGCACGAATAAGTCGGCCCAACCGGGGAAGGAACACGCTCTCACAGAATACCTCCGTAAAATAGCTGCTCAATGCTACTGTGTTTCGTATGACGAATGTTAAGAACCGGAAACCTTTTTTTTACTGGTTACATTGAGTTCTCAATGGTGACGCATCTGCATTTTGGTTCTTAATCGAGGATAGATGTAGATGTCTATAGGCCAAAGCATCCACTTACCATCAGGTGGACTGGGTGTTCGCTTGTCACGCATATTCTATAAGGTTTCTTTTTTTTAAGTTACAGCCAGATACTAAAATTAAAGAAAAAACCGAAGTCTTAAATAACCTTTAAAATTGACGGCAAATTGTGAGCATAAATTTAAAATTTGTTTCCTTTATCCTTCACCGTTAATAAAATATATGATTTAAAGTTTTTCTAATGTTTTTTAGAATTTGATTCTATTCTGATTTTCAGAAAACCTGAATTTTGCATCTGCTTTGTTCTGAATAACGACTTTATTTTTATTAGGGGCGCCTTGTCATTGCCTATACTTGCAGCACCTAATTAACACTTAATTCTTTGCTATAATATTTATCGTATATCTTATAACTTCATTGCGTTGCTAGCGATACGTTTTGCCAGCAACGCAAATTTCAATCGTTCGTTGCGGTGAAAATTTTAGAGCAAATAATTTTTAAACTTGGCACCTAAATAGCACCTAAAAAGCCCCTAATTTTGGATTTTTCCAAATGCAAATTCCTGACTTTGCGTTGCTGGCGAGACACAACTGGTCCATCGGGATAAGAACATATTTACCTATTACCTATTTTATAAAACAGTGCATGCACTACTGTGTTTTGATCTGATGAGTATAGAGAGTCAGTGTAATTAGGCTCCTTGGTCCTCAGACATAACAACGCATATGTAGCCTTTTTAAAGTTGTCTGCAGATGTCCGTGGACTGCAGTAGCTACTTACCATCAGGTGGGCATGTAAATAAAGTCGTTTGTATATGTAAATTAAATAATTTAAAATTAAAAATTTTGTACAGCCGACTTCAATATAAGTTATCTAAGAATAACTCAAAAACTATTGGTCTGGCCTTGATCAAATTCATATGGGACCATACGATAACTATCAGCTTTCATATAAAAAAAGAATCATCGAAATCGGTTAACCCAGTACAAAGTTATGAGGTAACACACATAAAAAAAAACATACAGTCGAATTGAGTACCGTCTCCTTTTTGGAAGTCGGCAGAAAAAAGGAATATTATTATGTCATTAAAATCTTCTTACGGAATGATACAGTTTAGCGACCTCCAAGGAACGAAATTAAACCTCTTTGAAAGGCCGGCAACACACCTGAAATTCCCCTGATGTTGCAGTTGTTCATGGATCGGCGGTCGACACTTACCATCAGGTGAACCGCATGCACGTTTGCCACCTCTTCTATAAAAAATGTACTAAAAATAAAGTCTAGATACAAACTTAAATAGGACTTTAAAATAGTAAAATCTATCGTAAACTGCCACATCATTATCTCTATGGTCAGCCATTCAACACCGTGCATTTCTCTTGTAATATTATGCTACGTGAGACCCATCATGAAATTTATAGTTGCCAATGTTTTTCCTAACCGATATGACTTAGAGACCATAGAAAAAAGAGCCTACTTCTTTCTAAGTCAGCAATGAACCAGGAATTCCTGCAGTGTTGCAGATATATTTGGCTATTAGTGGTCTCTCTGGAATAAATCGACCTCTTCATTAAATCGACTATCCAATTCACCAATTCTAAATCACTTCGGTAAAGCTATTTGCAACAAAGCATTAGTTTATTTCAATTTTTTATATATTCTCATTTTAAGATAAAATAGACATACCTGAGGCCTTTGGTAAACAAACGGGTCTGACCGCAAACGAATAGTTCACAGGTTCATTGAGGCGAAGCAAGGAAACATCATTTGTGAGTTCCGTCAACGTAAAGTTATGCACAATCATCTTTGTGATATATCGCGCCTCCGGCCGCGTCTTATATACACATCGATCATGCTCTCCGAAAGTCACGCGAAACATAAACCACATAAATCTGAAAGTAACAAAGAGATGAAAAACTATTTTAACATGGTAAGGCTATTTTTTTATAGGATAAGGGTAACAAACGAGCACACAGTCCACCTGATGATAAGTGGTTGCTGCGGCCCATAGACATCTACATCTAACCTCTATTACAAATCAAAATGTAGATGCGTTGTCACCCGTGAGGACTAAGATGGAATGCCTCATTTCCAGTAAAAAGGGCCTCCGGCCACCTGCACTCACCAAGCGAAACGCAGAGGTTAACCTCTACTTCACGCTGGTTTTCTGTGAGGTCGTGGTACCACCCCGGTTTGAGCCGGCCCATACCGGCTCGGCCGGCTCTACCACTGTTAAAATGCTATGCTGCAGCTATATTATAATTGACCAGGGAAGCCCACGCTCTCACACCACAAACATGAACCCTCACCACAAGAGACACAGTAGCGTTTCGTGTGGTGAGGGTAGAAAACCGCGCCCCTTTTAAATCAAAACGAGGCATTTCACCTTAGTTTTCAGGCGTGACAACGTATCTACATCATGATTCTTAATCGAAGATAAATGTAGATATCCATGGGCCGTAGAATTAACTTACCATCAGGTTGACTGTGTTCTCGTTTCTCACCCTTATCCTATAAAAACCAGTAAAAAGAATCTGCTGTAAATCTTTTGGTAAAACACCAAGCGTAAACACATTACTAATATACACAATAGTAATTGTGTGTAATCTATATAATAATATTACATTAAACAAGTGGCTTTTACTACATTACTCGTCAGCCTGAAACTTGAACCCTAGTTGGAGCTAAATGCTGCATACCGGATACTCATCATAGGATGAGGGAGCATATTTCTTCTTATCTTGTTATACTTCTTAATTTAACAGTGGTAACCCAGAGTCAGATAATGTGCGGTTGTTGATCTCGCTGTTGACGCCGTGACCGAAATTTGGTCTGGTGGACATCTCACTTTACTGGGCACCAGAGACAATTGATGGTCTCCAATAGAGGACTGTTTACCAAACCAAACATGTAAGATATTCGGACCGGCAACTATGAGCAGCGGCAAATGTGAGAAACGATTGGTGCTGCAATCGTTATTCAATCTGCCCAATGGTGATTACTCTTTATGGATTGAAAGAGGTCAAAAGAAAAAGAGAAAGAAGAAGTAATTTCCTAGAGTATAAGATGTCTGGTACTGTGATGGCATATTCACCATATTAGGAACAGGTATGTCCAGCAGGTCCATTGGGGCTACATAGGCTTCTCTGAGTATCGGCCTATTTATGGGCTGACGAGGTGGATGAGGGTTAAGCATTATTTCCATATAACACTCTTATCTTTGTATTAATATTTACCCTTGAACACAATGAGCTGCTGATATAACATATTTGTCATTTATAAGGGAAGCTCCACAGCCAAATGATTTATGATAGATTAGACGGGCGATCCATGGAAAAGCATTGACAGTAGATCCAGAACCACCAACTACTCTTGGTTCTTCGTTACGTTCTCCACAACCTGTGTATTAATTAATTAGTTTTTTTTAGTACAATAGGAACCTATGTTTGAGCTCATTTTAATGATTATCGAATACCGGTAGTAGAAGTGTAAGTGTTTCTCAACTATCGAATAAACTAAACCAATCATAGGAAGGAAATTTCTAAAAACAAGAAATATTTGCCTTTGTCCAAGGACCCTTCTTAAGTCCACTGGTGAACACATGCTTCCCCAAAGGAATGCCATAATTTACGGTCCTGTGCCACCTGCATCCATCGACTTCCTGCTCGTCTCGCCAGGTCGTCACTCCACTTTTGATTAATCTCTCTATTACAAAGTTGCCAAAAAAGACACCGACACAAATAGCATTAAGTCAGATTTCAGCGTTGTCGAGAAAATAATAACTATGACATCATACGACGGGGGTCTATGAAAATTGAAAATAAAGATAGAATCAATCTAAGCATTGTTCAGTACCAACTAACAATATTAAACAATGTCTTTATCTTTTTTTTAATTTCTGAAGTGATTCCAGGAACAAACCTCAAGGTACGGTATGGGTAGCAATAGTACCAGCCTGAATTACTATAAAACAAAAAAATATTAAACTGAAAGGATTTATTATTTAGTGTGATATTTTTTAAAACGTTACTCCCACACTAGGATTTTCTCCTGTATCGTGAAGGCAGTTTACAAAACATAAATTGCACAAGGACAAACATCCAGACCCGGAACAATTATTTGCAGGATATACAAATACTTGTTCCATGCGGGATTCGAACCCGCGGCACCCAGCGCAGCAATTCATTGCTAAGCCATTGCGCTACAAAGCCGTCAAAAATTTTTTCATGTGTAATAATTTTAACCAATATTTTTAGGTACGTGCTTTAAATTATTATTCCAAAATATTTGCACCATAAGGACTTTGTGATTTGAAAAATCGTGATTTATTTATGAATGGGATCGTGCTGTTTTCGAGAGTCATTACGAATCGTCTCGCGCGCAGACTTGACGACTTCCAGCCTCCCGAACAAGCCGGTTTCCGAAAAGGCTTTAGCACCATAGACCACATACATACCCTTCGGCAAATTGTACAGAAGTCCGAGGAGTACAATTTGCCACTATGTCTGGCGTATGTGGACTATGAGAAAGCCTTTGATTCCGTCGAAATTTGGGCGGTGCTGCAGTCCCTTCAGCGATGCCAAGTTGACTGTCGGTATATCGAAGTGTTGAAGTGCTTGTACAGTAGGGCTACGATGGCTATCCGAGTACAGAACCAGAGTACGAAACCTATCCAATTGCAGAGAGGTGTAAGACAGGGTGACGTCATATCCCCGAAACTCTTTACCGCTGCATTGGAAGATGTTTTCAAGCTTCTGGACTGGAAAGGATACGGTATCAACATCAATGGCGAGTACATCACTCACCTTCGATTTGCCGACGATATAGTCCTTATGGCAGAATCGCTGGAGAACCTAAGCACTATGCTCAATGACCTCAATAGTGTTTCCCAACGGATAGGTCTTAAGATGAACATGGACAAAACAAAGATCATGTTTAATGTCCATGTCACACCTATGCCGGTAGTTGTTGGGAACACTAAGCTCGAAGTTGTTGACGAGTATGTTTACCTGGGACAAATAGTCCGACTAGGTAAGTCCAACTTCGACCGAGAGGTCAATCGACGGATTCAACTCGGTTGGGCAGCGTTCGGGAAATTACGGCACATCTTCTCGTCAGGTATACCTCAAAACTTGAAAACGAGACTATACACCCAGTGCGTGTTGCCAGTAATGACATACGGAACTGAGACGTGGTCCTTCACTGCTGGCCGGATGAGGAAGCTCAAGGTCGCTCAGCGAGCTATGGAGAGGGCTATGCTCGGAGTTTCTCTGCGTGATAAACTCAGAAATGAGGATATCCGCAGTAGAACTAGAGTGACCGACATAGCCCAACGGATTAGTAAGCTGAAGTGGCAATGGGCCGGCCATATAGCTCGAAGAACCGACAACCGATGGGGAAGAAAGGTTCTCGAGTGGCAGCCTCGTACCGGCAGGCGAAGTGTAGGGCGTCCCCCCACTAGATGGAGTGACGACCTGGTAAGATATGCAGGAAGTCGATGGATGCAGGTGGCTCAGGACCGTGCTTTGTGGCATTCTTTGGGGGAGGCCTATGTTCAGCAGTGGACTTGTGAAGGGCTGTAATGATGATGATGATGATGATGGGATCCTGATCCTTATTGGTTAATGAATTATGTTAATTGATGATGTCAAACTTAAATAACTACCCTAATTAATATCCCACAAATATTAAAAATATTACATGTTTTATTTTAAAATATTTATTCTAAAATGAAGCTAATCTTAAAAATAAGCAAGAGCCTTCCTTAAAACCATTATCATTACACAAAAGAAACAACTGACAAACGAACTCATAGGCATCCTGATGGTATGTGGCGACTGCAGTCTGCCGGTCTGCAGCAAAGGGAATGCCTCACAGCTTAGTATTATACTGGCTCTCTACACCCTCCAGACCGAAACATACGAATTCAAACACTGCTATATGGCGGCAGAAATAGGTAAGATGGTCCTATCACATACACTGCAATGAGGCAAATTGACTAATTGGTATTATATCAATATATCCCGTGAAAAGATAAACTCCAACGTACACATGTTTTCACAATGGTTGTATTTAGTAATCTAATAATCTAATAAATTAATTTTTATAAAATTAATGTTTCTTTGTTTGTATTTTATGCGCTGCTATACCTTTCGTCAGCTTGCGGTAAAACTTTGTTAACATATTGCTTGCATTTTCGCTAAACTTATAGACATAGCACAATTAACATACAGTAGGCGAAGCGCGTATCGTACTGACAAATTTATTTCTATTAGGTTATATATCATTCAACTTCAATGAATGTATTATCATTCCTAATTAAACAATATAACTTTTCCGAATTTAAAACGATAATTCCACAATTATTTCTTATGCGGCTGTAACGCGGCGGGTAACAGCTAGTTGCAAATAAAAAGTAACTTTGTATTTTCTTACGTGTAACTAATATGGCTCCATCGTAAAATTAAAGAGGTAAAGAGGTATCAATATAATTCGCAATAATTGCAAAATATCTTAAACTTACTGCAATCCCTGCACGGCGGTAACTGCTGTCTCTTTAATACTAAATCTGAGGCACCGTATGATGTGTCGGATATTTTTAATTGAGCCTAGAAAATTTACAAAAATGTCAATACTTGGTTAATATAAGGACTTTTTTGACCTTAAATTAAGTATTCAAATCAAATAACTAAAAACTACCATAAATAAAATAAACTAGCATTAAAATTAATGTTTATTTTTCATGTAAATTAAAGATCATAAAATGTTTGTCATCAATAACCCAAAAACCAATCTCAACACTTA